CCCCCCCGTCATTTTTCTGACACAGCCACAAAAGATATTCGTTCATGGCCACGGTGTCCCAAAGTCCGTTCAGCGCTGTCTCACACAAGATAATCTTAAATGTTTTTGGGGGTGTCAGGGTTTATTTTTTTCCATGACCATGCTCTGGCATCTATGCAGTGTAAGGGTATGGTGCTACACTGTTGCATGCATGGGTCCCGAGTTCGATTCCCTAGTTTGAGCCCCGAGTGGGGAGAATATTGCGATGGAGTATCTTGGTCTTTTTGTTGAAATGTTGTATCCATCTCAGTCCAATATGGCCCTGACAGGCAGGATCGGAAGCCCGCCTCCTAAAATGAGCTAAATTGTGTCCATGACGTGGGCTCATTAAAACACTTACATTAAAATGACAATGTTGTTGTTTAAATGACCGTGCCATTAAACATTTTCTGTGCTCTAACAATTGTTATAAAATTGTTATAAAGAATTATATTAGTAGTTTTCCATTACTCAGTAACGTAACATAAACGTTTCCTCTTGTTCTTCCTGTGTTATTGTTGTTGTTGTTGTTGTTGTTGTTGTTGTTGTTGTTGTTGTAGTCGTTGTTGTTTGTTGTTGTTGTCTGTTGTTTGTTGTTGTTGTTTGTTGTTGTTGTTGTTTGTTGTTATTGTTGTTGTTGTTGTTGTATTATGTTTGAGTGGGAGGATGTTTCTCAAATTGTAATATTGAACAGCATGTTCCCTCATCTAAATGTTGACTGGCAGAAGTTGAGCAGTAGAAAGTGCGCTGTGAAGACGATCTGGGCATGATCACATTTACATCATGTGTAAACAAAAGGAGAATTTGGAATAACTGAAAAACAGCCTAGGGACAACATGCTGAAGTTTATTATACTATTTATTGGTAAACTACTCCTGTATACATGCAGAGATGGCACAGAAATAATTCTACCCAACACACATAATTATTATGTGAAGCTTCATGGTGAAATCAGGCGCTTGACAAAAGAAAAAAATCAAAGAAACGGACACTTTTCCGCGCCAGTTGCGCAATTTTTATCTTTTTTAGCG